AAGAAAGAAAGAAAGAAAGAAAGACAGTCAAACAGTATAGTTCATCTAAAAGAAATCTCTCAAATCTCTCTTCTGATTGGTGAAGACCAATGAGTTTTCTTTTCAGAGGGGAAAAGAATACCAAAATGAACCCCATGGTATAAAAAATTCATCTTGCAAGATGTCTGGGAAGCAGTTGGAATCTCTCTTTTAATAATAATAATACATTTTATTTATAGCCTGCCTCTCCCTCCAGATCCCTGCGGATCGAGGCGGCTTACAACAAGTAAGAATAACAATAAAATACAATATACAATTCAAATCCACATTTTTAAATAACCCCCTACCCTAACCCCTTTTCTCTCTTACCTCCAGATCTTTCCTCCATCTCTCAGCACAAGACAGACCAAGAAATTGCACTTACCTTTGCAAAAAGAGAAATCCTGATGCTGCACTCCTCTGAATGCTCCTGGTATCAAAAAAAGAAAGGTCTGTCCTGAATTTCAAAAACTGGGAAGGAGAAGGAGAAGGAGAAGGAAAGGAATCTGCCTCCTTCTGCCCAGATTCTCAGAGCAACTATGGCAGAACAGTATCTCCTCTGTTGCCTTTATATCATCTTTCCTCCTCCCTCTTCTTTGCTTGCCCACCCCTTTGGTGGAGATCTGAGTAGATTCCAGGATCTCCTTGCTTGACATTTCCCTGGAAGCTGCCTTTCACTTAACCACTATTGATGCTTGGGATGGTTTTGCTTTTTTTCTCCAAGAAGAGAAAAAAGAGGGAAAAAGCTGATCTGGAGTGGGAGTTAAAAGAGGTTGAATGCAAACCCTGCCACACTTTCCTTTAACAAAACATTAAAATGTGGAAGAAAATCAGATTTCTTAGTGGCTGGCAGCCTCCCTGCCTTCCTCTCCAAAGGTGTCAATTGCCTTCGGAAGAAACTAAATAATAATAATAATTATTATTATTATTATTTATATCCCGCCCCTTCGAGATCAATCCGGGCGGCTAACAACAATAAAATACACATGCAACAATAAAATCTAATTCCCATGGCAGCAAATAAATGGAAGTAGACTAACATTAGGAGTCCTAGGAAACTGGCCTGGGTCCAAAACACACTGCAGAAATAATCCAGTTTGAGACTGCCTTAACTGCCCTGGCTCAGTGCTAGGGAATCCTGGGAATTGGAGTTTATTGTGGCACCGGAGCTCTCTGGCGGAGAAGGCTTAATGTCTCGCAAAACTTACAGTTCCCCGAATTCCCTAGCATTGAGCAAGGGGAGTTAAAGCAATCTCGAACTGGATTATTTCTGCAGTGTGTTTTGGACCTAGGATGTTGGGGGAAATGATGGGGGAAGAGGAATGACAAAATGAGGCCCTCTCAAAAAAAAAATGTTGGTACCCCCTTATGCAATTTTCCTTCAGTCCTCCAATTTCTAGGAGGCTCTGTTGCCTCATCAAACTACAAATCCCAGGATTCTGTAGGATAGAGCCATGGCAGTTAAAGTGGTATCAAACTGCTTTAATGTGGCAGCAGCCCAACCAAGGGATCAGCAAAATTCTCCCAGATTCCCTAGTATCCTGGTTAATAGTCTAGTTTATTGTGGCATCGGTGCTCTCTGACAGAGAAGGCTAAATATCTCGACAAAACTACAGATCCCAGGAATCTGTAGAATAGGGCCATGGCTGTTAATGTGGTGTCAAAACTGGATTGATTCTTCAGTGTCAATGCTGCCTTGGAGAGTGAATGCTTGTTGCCTTTATTGGTTACATCTTTTGCTGCTTGTTGTTATTATTGTAGGATGTTTTGCTTTTGGGACAGTGTTGCAGGGCTGGGTTGTAACAAAAGTTGCAAGCCTGAACTGAGCAGGAAAATGGCATATCAATAAGAGCAGAATAAGTTGGTGGATCTGCACACGCTCTCTCCGCTGTCTGGATCCCTTTTTCTCCTGGATCGTGATCCATTTGCCACAATGCAAATGCACAGTTATGCAAACTTTCCCCGGCCTTCCAGAAATGGGGTTAATGTTCGAATGAATCATGAAAGAAGGGGCATGACGAAATCATTCGGAAACAGGCATTTGGGGTTTACTGCATGCCCAGCAGCCTGTCCTGTTCAAAGTGCAAATATAATGCTCAGCCAATGTACTATAGAAGGACATTAGAGGG